CAAACACAAGCGCTGTCTCAGCTGGGAAGTGTTGATTCTGAGTTACCTCAGACCCTAAGAAGGGAAAGTCTGAAAATGAGAGACCCGGTATAAATATAGAGGTGTTGATGGCCTGAAGGAGGGGAGACAGGTCCCTGCTAAGCAGCTACTCATGGAAAGCACACAGAAACAGTGGCAGCTTTTATTACAGTCTGGTGATAGAAATGTAGAAGATAAAGATCTCATACTGACAAGGCTAAAGACCCTGATATTGAAGACATAATTGATGCTGTTCAGAAAAAGCAAAAACCTGTGTTCCCCTCCAATGCAACTGCATGGAGCTGGCTGTAAAACCACCCCTCTAATGTGAGGGCTGAGCACGCTGCAGTGAATCCAACCGGCCAAAGCATCCAGCTACCTACCACCACAGATGCTTGTTTCCCCAGTAAGCCCACAAAGACACGCTCCTAGCACAAAGGATCTCTCATCTGTGGGCTGCTGTAGTGTCAAAGTCAGGTGTTAATGCCTCACAGCACTGTCTCTTCACAGACACCCGCTCCCTGGTGGGCCAGGGTACATGTGCGTATTCATTCCTAGTGTGCCTTAGACTAGAAGCTGAGATACAGATCAGGTTTTTGCTGTATGGAACAAATGCATGCCCAAAACACCTACTGAAATCTGCTCCAGCACTTGTTCCAAGCATCACTGGCCAAGAGTTGCTCACCCTGTACTTTAACCCCTCCATCAGCAGGATCCCGCTGCCCCAGGAGGGGATACAGGGCTAGGTTAAAGTCTGGCTTGTCTTCGGGGGTGAGGGTGACTCAAAGCTGTCAAAATAGTCCTGGCTACAATGACCTTGACAGGAAGAAAAGATGAAGAGCTTGAAAACAAGAAGGAGGGGAAACAACTTCCCAGGGCAGCAGCAGAGGCAGCTGCAGGGCAGGAGTAGAGGCAGGTGTGTCAACACTGCTCTGCTCTACCCACTCGCCTGTTCAAGGCGGCACCATGCAAGCCACTGCTCTGCTCCACCAGGTCAATTCAGATGCCTGTGCTGAAGCACCTCCATGGCCAGCTCCCCATGTCTGTCTCACACTGCTGCACAGGGACAAAGCAGAATGGAGAGGGTGGGAGTCAGGCCCAGGGTGCAGCACTTTTTTGGGTGGTCTCGCTTTGGCACACACACACAGCTCAAAGTGACCATATCTGAGAAACCAGACAGCATTGACCAAAATGCTTTCCATATCAATGTCAGAGCCCAGCTCTACCCACCTTCAACCTGTCTTTTACACAGTCTAACAGAGACAGAGGCAAAACCAGCCCAGAGAGCTTCCAGCACAGCTCAACCAAAGCCAGCGGTCAAGGTGAATTTGGACTTTCAAAAGTCAAAACTTTACTACAGTCTTCCTACTCGGTACCTACATGGTCTCTCCAAGGTCTCTCCCAGACAAATACACCATGCTGAGCAAATACTCTGCTCCCTGTCCTTGCCTGACTTGTTTTAAAGGGCTGTATGAAGCAGTCTGTTTAAAACTGCATCACAGGCACCAAACATTCATGTGATTCTCAGCTTTGCACAAACGGTTAGCAGCAACAGAGAGCAACCAGATACTTCAGAGAAATAGGGTCATGCTAGCAACTATTAATTCACACCTAGAAGGCTTCCATGAGCAGTGTACAGCAAGCAGCCCACCTGGGACAGGGTTCTTCTCCGAGCAGCGCTTTCATTAAACAGCCATCATCAGGGTCCTGGCTCTTGGTTCAACAGGAAGATTGGTGGTGGTGCAAGAAGATCTGGTGGTGAATGTTTAGATGCAAGCTCACAGACACATTCAATGCAATTTCAGGAAGCGTGGTGAAAAGTTGCTATGTCAAGTGCTGGTTTGGCATTTCTTTTTTTGTTGTTGGGGTTTTTTGGGGGGGGGGTTGTTAGGTTTTTTTTGTGGGTTTTTTTTTTTTTTTTTTTAACATGGTAGCTTTTCTGGTGAAAATGCACTTTAAAATGTCTAAGCATTCAGCTATTGTTTGGTGCTATTAAGCATGCTGTTCCAAATCTCGTCTCTGGCAAGCATCCCAATTAAGCAGGCATCCCGTTGATCAGCTTTCTGATCACATGGGATTTGTTCTGCTCCTGCATCTGATATAATACTTTCTGCTTTGAAGAATTTCATGTGTAGCCAGAAGGAGGCCCCACCCTTCTCATTTAGAGAGAAAAAACATTCTCAAAGCCTGCTTCCACTGGCAGCATCTTCAAGAAATCAAAGGCAGGTGAAAGAGCAATCTCTTGTTTGTCCTGAAATTGGTGTGGAGCAAGTTGGGCAGCAGGAATTAGACCAAGAGCTCATTTACTCTGAGCAAAGTGTGGGAAAGCAGGAAGGGAGCAGTCATTGCAGAACAAATTTTTATTTTTCTTCTTTGCCCATGTCTCCCTCATGGCACAATTTAGAAACCAGGGACCTTTCCCATCAGATAAGGTTACCTCTGAAATGAGAGCACTAACCAGACAAACCGACAGATTTGGTCTCAGAGGCAATTTAAAAGGCAGGAGTGAAATTGCAGGAGTGAACTGGACCTGCAAGATTGCAAAATGGGAAGATGGGAACTTTCCAAGGAGGAAATCCCAAAGACGTTTTGAATAGCCAGCCAAAGAGTGTCCACTGTGAATTCCCCACAGAGGAAAACCCCAAACAGGAAAGGTTTGCTTTTGGTACAGGGCTAGGAAACCAGTGCTACCATGTTGTGGGAATTCAGGATTTCCTTCTCATGTGCATGTACTTTTGAACCCCACAAAAAGAGGTGCAAAGATTACAGCAGATTAGAACTTAAGGTGCAGAGCAAATAAAGACTTCTTCTGTGGCTCATTTTCTCTTCTGCGGCTCATTTTCTCTTCTGCCTCACTTTTCCATTTTCAAAATGGGAAGAATAAACAGCATTTTCCTAGCTTACATGGCAGGGTGAAGATAAAGCTGCTAACACAGGATGACTAGAGTGAAGGTGAACATGGAAAAGCCTTCACAAGACAGGAGGAACATGCCAAACTGGGGAAATGCCCCGGCATATGGTGGCAGAGCACCATCATGAAGGGACACTGGCCAGCTTTCCCCACTGAAACACAGCTCCATCGCAAGCTCTTACGCCAAACAGCACAACAGCCTCCAAGAAGGAAGAACCCTTCACCAGTCTCCTGTGAGACCAAACCAGAGACACCTGAGCTTTTCAAAGCTGGGGGTGACAGATGCTGAGTCTGAAGCCCTACTTGGGCAGAGAAGCCAAGTGCAGGCTGGTTGCAAGACTTGTACACCTTCAGGCTAGAAAAGTTGTCCTAGGGATCCAGCCAGACCTCCTGTGTGGCACAGCACAAGGAACCTCACCCAACAACTGCATATGAAGTGTACATTGCCCTAGGAAAGACATTCAGCCCCAACTTTAAATGAAGAACTCCTAATTAAGCTCTCAGTTAAAATTGTGCAGCTTGTCAGCACTGAAGAACTGCTTCAAGACCTCTAACATTTCTTAAAATATACATAACGACAGACTCAAACTCAGCTGACAAACGTCACCCCCTCCCAGATACACCAACCAGCAGACACAAGCCATCCTCTCCCTGGTTTAACAGGGTTCTCCAGCCTGAAAACCTGTTTTAACTGATAGGCAAAAGCAGGGACTGATGGTGAAGGCTTCTCTGAACTACCTGCTCTGCAAACACCCATCTTCCACAGGCTTCCCTTTCTACCTGAAGAGAAGCAAATCTTCCCTGCTGTTAGTATAAAACAGCATTACTGTTAAAAACAAGCGACAGGGCTGTGACATTAGCACAACTCTCTGCTGGGACAAGTGCAATGAAATGGGTCTCACCCCCAGACATAAAAAAGTATTAAAGGTCTGGGTAAAATTCATCTTTCCCAGGTTTAGCCCACCAGTACAATGCATCCAGTCCGAGGGAATCAGCTGGCCTCTTGCCACAGTGTGGAAGAACTCCAGCATCCCCACCCCAGTGTAAAACAGCTATCCAAAATAGGATCCATTGCAATTGAACCACCTGGGGACTTCTGGGATTTGACCAGAATTAACTGGTCAAATATGCACCTGGTGGTAAGACTCTTCCACTTGATCCCTGAATCTCGCAGGTCCTTAGTTATCAGAGGAAAGGAAAGCCACAGCTTGCAAGAAGATGCAGAGGTAGCATCAGACATCCCTCTGGAAGATGCTGCCAAACTCCACGCAGCACGGCCAACTGCCCAGGCTCAAGCACAGGGCTGAGCCCTCCATGAGCAAACAGGAAAGAAACGCTGAGCAGTGTGAACTCAATTCATTGCTGTAACTTACAATTGGCTGTAGTTGCGCGCCTGGTAGCATGAACTGCATTTGCTGAGCAAACATGGCTGCGGCTGTCTTCTGCTGGATCAGGTTGTTGCGTCCATTTATTTCAAGTTGTGTTTTTAAGTGCGGGGGAGGGTGGAGATATTTGCAGTTCTCTCGGGTACACCGGCCCTAAAAAAACATAATGAAACCACATTTCAGTGAATGTAACACACAGAGCGGCCAGAGAAATTTAATTAAGGATTGTTTAGGTTAGTGTAACAACACAATCATCTAGGCAGAGGCAGTTTGGTAGCTACTGCGCCTCTTTTGTGATTTTTCTGTAACAGTGCAATGTTTAGGTGAAGAGAAGAGCAGCGTGGCTTCTCCAGCAGTAACACTACCGGAATACTATCAAGCTAAACCCAAAAGTTAGGCTTCCTGATGTTAAAATGATTGTTGGAAAAAAAAATAATCTAACACAAATACCAATATTTTCAGAAGCTAGTGGCAACAGTTCCAGAAACATCAAAAAAAATTTCCCCATTTTCTTGTGTGGGTTGTTTTTCCCCTCGCTCCCAACACCAGGCCACTTAATTGGCCCTGACAACCAGACAGCAAGAAACAAAACTGTCTCCACCGCTTCCCCAGCTGCACTGAGTAAAACATTAAGAGACAGCTCTGTATAGCAGCACCTCTGATCTTCAACATACATGCTGAGAGCTGGGAGTCACAGGAGGAAGAACTGAAACAAAAAAAGCAAAGGATCACAAATGTTACAGATCACCTCAAATCAACGAAGACCATCACTTTAAAAAAAAAAAATCTATAAACTGTACCTTGCTTTAATAGTGTTTGCAAGTAGACATAAGAAGGTAAGTACCAATAGTCCACTGAACACAGAAAACAATTAACTAATTTTGTCATTAAGATGAAATAATTCTTGAAAAATAAGGGTTGTTCCCCCTCCCTTCTCTGGGTATTCCCTCCTCAAGATACAGAATACAAGAAACATTTTATGCAAATTTATGTTTGAGTTTTTGTGGTGGGTCGACCCTGGCTGGGGGCCAGGGGCCCACCAGAGCCGCTCTATCACTCCCCTCCTTTCTTAGACAGGGGAGAAAAAGGAAAAT